CTTCCTTGCAGAGGCTGTGGGTTTGATCCCTGGTTGGGGAACCAAGATCCCACAGGCTGCGGAGCAGCTGAGCCTCTGTGCCACAGATAGTGAGCCCACGTGCCACAATGAAAGATCTCACATGACACAGTGAGGATCCCAGGGGCCACAATGAAGACCCAACTCAGTCAAATAAATCAATAAAAAGTATTTAAAAAATTAAAAAAATAAATAAAAAAGAAAAAACAGGTTGTGGGGCCGCTGGAGTCATCCAGATGAGTAGCAATTGGAATCTGATTCAGGGCAATACGGTGGAATTAGAGAATGGACTGTGGGCGCCTGGACTGGGGCCTGGGGAAAAGAGAGGGAGTGAGACTGATTCCAGTGTCTTCACCCCAAGGGAGGGTGGGGAGAGGCCCATGGCTCCCTGTGGGGTCCAACCCACTGATCTACCTGGTGTCAGATTGCCTGATGTCTCCCCATGGCCCTCATCCATGCTTTTTCCTAGAGGAGCAGATGGAGTCTCGAGAGGTAGATGGCTGCTAAGAAGGCCTAGGAGGAGGAGGCAGATGGGAGGAGGAAGGGGAAGTTGGGTCAGGGTTTGGATGTGATGAGGTTCCAAGGAAAGCGGAGTTTCCTCAGATTCCGGAAATTCCACTGTCCCTGGATTCACCTCCCCCATTCCTTCTTTAATTAATTAATTTTTACTTTTGTTGCTCTGGGTCTTTGTTGCTGCATGTGGGTTTTCTCTAGTTGCTGTATGCGGGCTTCTCATTGTGGAGCTTGTCTTGTGGAGCACAGGCTTTAGGGTGTATGGGCTTCAGTAGTTGTGTTCAGGCTTAATTGCTCTGTGGCATGTACTGGGATCGTCCCAGACCAGGGCTTGAATCCATGTCCTCTGCACTGGTAGATGGATTCTTCTCCACTGTCCCACCAAGGAAATACCCCACCCCCCACCAATTCTGAGATGCTCAAAGTCAGGGCCAGTTCTTGGGAATCCTGGAAGCCTTTTAGGGGCTGTGAGTCTATATCTGAAAAGCCACAATGCCCTGACAGGTCCCCAGGACTCTAGAGAGTCACTAACATCAGTGTGTGCTTCCCATGAACTGGCCCAGTGCCCGTCACCTGCATGATCCCCTGCAGTCCTCACATTAACCCTTGGAGGCATGTGGCTTTCTATCCCCATTGTACATACCAGTCTTCCAGGGTTAAGGGACTTGCTCACATTCAAACATCTAAAACCATGCAAAAAGAGGATTTGAACCAAGGTTTGACTGACATCAGAGTCTGTGCTTTTAACTCCTGTGCTATATTAAGCCTGTCGACCCCTTGGTTGATTGGCTCAGTAAAGGGAGGAGGCTTTGTGGGGGATTTGCTTGTGGTTGGGGTGGCTGCCCCCCTCTCATATCAAGCGATGGGAAAGGGTAGCACTGACGTCAATTGTTGCCATGGCAATACAGCAACCCTTTCCCTGCCATCTCCATGGTAACCAGGGGGGGGTCCATCTGTACTTCGCCCCCTCCTTCTAAAAGAGGGTCCCTTAGGGAGGGGCTGGCTAATAAGGTGTTTGAGAGAGAAGTCCGGGAAGGCAGGGATTTGAGTATCCTTCTTTGACTGGGCCCCTCCCCATTCCTCAGGCAGAAAATGAGGCTGGGATGTGGGGGTCCTGCTTTGGGGTCTGCATGCATGCTAAGTCACTTCAGTCGTGTCTAACTCTTTGCAACCCCATGGACTGTAGCCCACCATGATCCTCTGTCCACTGGGATTCTCCAGGCAAGAATACTGGAGTGTGTTGTCATTCCTTTCTCCAGGAGATCTTCAAGACCCAGGGATCGAACTCAACGTCTCTTACGTCTCCTGCATTGGCAGATGGGTTCTTTACTACTAGCACCACCTGGGTAGCTTTGGGGTCTGGGGACAGCTTTATCCTCTAGGGTGAGGAAGGCAGTTCTGCTTTTCCTGCCTGGGGATTCCCCTGAAAATGCCCCCTGCCCCCAAGTTCCTTAGCTCCTGAGCAGGACTGATAGGAACTTGACAAAGGGAGGCAAGAGAGAGTCCAGATACCCAGCCCTTGGGGACAGGGCTAGCTGGCTCTCTGCTGCCCCTTGAAGCCAAAGCCAGCATCCTCTTTCGCTCAGTGCTAGCTGTGCCTGAGATTCCTGCCTGGTGTATGACTTTACTGAAACCTTCCACCAGATGTCATTAGCGCCATTTTTCAGATTTGGAAATAGAGACTCAGAGAGGCTAAATAATTAGCCCAAGGTCGCACAGCTAGTAAATGACAATTAGGACTCAAATCTAGGACTAGAGTTTAGGCCAGTGACTTTCCCTGGGGAAAAAAGGAAGAAGCAACAGAGAACATGATGGAAAAGGAAAAGAAAAATAGAGTCAAGCCACCCAGGTTGGAGCCTGTCACTCTCCCTGTCACCTACAGAACAAGTTCAAACACACAGTCTCCCTGATCCACCTTCTCTTCTGTTAACTCATCCCTGGGTCCCTTAAATTCTCAGCTCTCCGACAGGGACCTGCCACCACCTGGTATGGCCCAGATAGGTGTTGGTGAAAGTTGATTGAACTGAATTCCTTAAACTTCCCTGCCTCCAGGCTTTTGCCCATTGTGTTCCTTCCACCTGGAATGCCCTTTCCTCTTGCTCCTGGCCATTCTAGAGCTATCTAGCTCCAGGGTCTGGCCCATTGGCAAGGTGTTTGTCGGTATTTTTTGTTATCCCTCACTAACCAAACATATGAAAGCGGCAGTAAGTTTTTTATTTTCCCTTTTCTTTTTTGGCCATGTCTCACAGCTTGTGAGATCTCAGTTCCCTGACCAGGGATTGAACCAGGGCCATGGGAATGAAATCCCGTTATCCTTACCACTAAGCCACCAGGAAACTCCCAGGCAGTAAATCTTTTTTTTTTTTTTTTAAGGAAAGGAGGGTTCCAGAAGCCTAGAGAAAGGAAATGAGGGAGATAAGAGAGAAAGGAAGAATGGGAAGAATTCTGCATCTGTGGGCTGGGAAGGTCCATTGAGATCAGCTGGTGCTTTTCTTTTTTTTAAGCTAGTGAGGAAATGGACCAGAAGGAAGGGACCTGCCTCCAGCAGGTCATTGCCAGCCCATGTGAGTTTCATGAGAGTTAAGGCCCATGTTTGTCAGTTTCATTGCTGACATTGTCCTGCATAGGCCTGGCTAGTAGACCTGTATTGACTGAGACAGGGACAAAATCTGAAAGAGAACCCAGTGGCCTGACTCCTGGTCGCACTTTCCAAGGCTCCTCATTGCCATGGAGCTGTGTAGTTCCCTGGCCTCTATCAAACTCAATCCATTTTTTTTTTCAGGCTTCTTTACCTCCCAGGGGTACTTGATCACTGCATAAATGGTCTCTGCTCCTGGAATGTTTTTTCTTCATCATTACCTGTTATTTTGTAGTGATGCTGTCAATCACCTGACTGTGCTTGCACCTCAAGGTAGGCTTACCTGTGGCTTAGCCTGGTCAATTGTAGTCTTCCATCTCCCTGACAGTGGTAACTGGCCCAAGGAACATGCTTGTGATTTTAAAACGGGTCAGTCATCACCCTTTCCAGGAATAGGTATATCGAGTTGGGGGAAGCAGCTCTCCCCTTCTGGGATTTATTTTTAGGTGGTGGGGGGCTGTGTTGTGTGGCATTTGGGATCTTTGTTCCCCGCTCAGGTATTGAACTTGGGCCCCCTGCAGTGGAAGTGCAGAGCCCTAACCAGGTAATGCTGACTTCCCGGGACTTCAAAGCTGAGGCAGCCGTGTTCCCTGCCCAGAGGAGATAATCAGGGATGTATGTGAGTGTGTGCATGCTCAGTCGCTTCAGTCGTGTCCAACTCTTTGCGACCCTATGGACTGTAGCCTGCCAGGCTCCACTGTCCATGGGATTCTCCAGGCAAGGATACTGGAGTAGGTTGCCATGCCCTCCTCGAGGGGATCTTCCTGACCCAGGGATCCAACGTGCATCTCCTGCATTGGTGGATTCTTTACCACTAGCGCCACCTGGGAAACCCCATGTTGAATCAAGTGTCCTTAAATCTCAGGGGACAGAAGACTGAGCCTGACCTTTGGGTTACATATATTTTTTTCTGATACTAAAATAATGCAGGTTCATTAAAGCAAAATTAGAAAGTGGGAAATACTCATTCAGCTTCCAGGCAGCTCTCCTGTCATGGGCCCCTCCCAGGGATGCATTTTGCTGCCTAAAGTCTGAGGACACTGAAGAGTGCACCTGGGGGGGGCCGGCGGAGGGGCCAAGTGGCTTAAGGCTCAGTTCTCTCACCTGTAAAACAGGAATAAGAAATCTGTTTTTCAAACGACTTCTTCCCCCATCTTTCTCTGATCCCACCAGTCCTTAGGAGAAACCAGGGGTTGAGATGCTGGGGGCAGCCCCTAATCCCTCCAACAAAGCCAGAGAGGCCCAGGGTCACAAAATAGAAGGCAGCAAAACCAAACTCCATTTTTGGAGAATTAAATGGGGCCGGGGTGGGTGGCCATTCTCTTTATTTTGAGTTGTCTGTCCATCTCCTTGTCTCAAGCTTTTCTGGGCCCCCAGAGTCCAGCACAGTAATGCTGATTTTCCTGGAGAGACAAAGGGGAGTGTCGGGGAGAAGGATGAGGGCAGCGCCCAAGCAGAAGCACGGCCCTGGAGCGGGTCGTGACCAGTGGGAAAAAAATGAGGGGAGGGTTTGGTGCCCAGCCAGAAGCTAGCAGACCCGGAGGGAAGGGCGGGCCCCTGGGGCTGGGCCCAAGGGAGGAAGCAGCAGAGGGAAAGGTGATATTGGATGGGGCGGAGCAGCCGGCGGGCCGAGCCGACGGGATAAGATAGACACGGCCAGCCGGAGTGGAAAGAACAGTTTATGCTGTGCTTTATTAAAATGTGCATCATTCTTTTATTTTAAAATGTGCATCATTGTCTCGTGCTCGCCGCGCTCGCGACCTCAGCGTGATGGCCCGCGGCGGGCCCCGTCCCCGCCCGGCTCCCGCGGAGCCGCCGTGCGCAGGCGCACTCAGGTGGCGCGGGCCCGGGGGCTCCCGCCCATGGCCAGGTAGACGTCGATGGGCACGTGCAGCAGCGTCAGGCAGTGGCAGCCGGGACAGCGTCGAAGCGGCCTGTGGAAAGCGGGACGCGACAGGGGGCGCTGAGGCGGCGGCCGGCCCCATCCTGTAGGGGGCGCATCAGTCCCAGAGGTTCGGGCGTGGGTGCGGGTTGGTCCGGAAACGGAAAGTGGGCAGGGGTGGGGCCGCGGGCAGGGGCGCTGGTCTCACCTGACTGGGTTGTGCTCCGTAGCTACCGGCTCCGGGCTGTCCTGGGACTCGGGGGCGGCGGCAAGGCCAGGGGAGTCTCCGGCCTCAATGGGGAATCTCCGACCCTGCGGGGGCTCCTGAGCACTCATGTCCAGGCCCCGGGGCGCTCTGCGCGGGGAGTGGCGGTCAGGCCGCTCCCGGGCCGCCTGGCGCCCCCTCCCAGCGCCCGCCCCCTGGGCTGTTGCTCACCTGCCGGAGGCGGAGGCCGAGGCCGCGGGAGGACGCTCCGGTCCAGGCGGAGCCGGGCAGGTGTCTGCGGCGCGTCCTGGCCCGGACGTCGAGGGGGAGGGCTGCATTGTGACCCGGGTCGCGGCGCGCTGACCTCACAGAACTCGTTCCTCTAGCTGGGAAACCCCACGCCGCCTGGGCACTTAGCGCGGCGGCGAGCCAGGAGCTGGAGGGCTGTGGCCATGGGTCGCGCAGACCCCCTGCTGCCCGATGGGGGCGTCCACGGAACAGAGCTTGGCATCCCGGGCCCAGCGCAGACATCGGCAGCAACCCTTACAGGCGGGGCTATGACCCACTGCCTGGCGCGGGGGCGGGGCACGGAGGTGACTTAACCCGTGCTAGGTTTTGCGGTGGTGGTGGTGGTGTTGAGGGCAGATGGGGCATTGCCCATTTTGGCCCAGGGTCACACAGCATTTACATCACAATTGGGCCAGAGTTTTAAAATGTCTGACCCTCTTCCTCCCCACCACCCGCGGCTCCTGTGTCCAGACGGAGAATGTTGTAGCGCTGGGGGCAGCTGCGGATGAAGTCCTTGGGGGGAAAAGAAGCGGGCCGAGGGCGATGGTGGAGTAGAGCTGCCTCGCAGAGGCAGCATGAGCTGAGAGGGTGATAGGAAGCATGCTAGACAGCATGGAGGACTTCCTGCTCTCCAATGGGTACCAGCTGGGCAAGACCATTGGGGAAGGGACCTACTCAAAAGTCAAAGAAGCAGTTTCCAAAAAACACCAAAGAAAAGTGGCAATTAAAATTATAGACAAGATGGGAGGGCCAGAAGGTGAGCTGGGGCCCCTTTGGAGTAAGGGAGGGCTGGCTGAGGTGGGCGGATGCTTCCTCCAGTCAGAAGGATCAATTCCCTGCTCCCCTTTAGTCCGGAGCTAAAGAAAGCAAGAGAGGCTGTGGCTCTGGGGTCAGTCAGCGGGGAACAGAGGGAGTCCAGGAAAATTACACCTTCCAATAGTCCAAGATGAATGTGGCAGATGGTGAAGGACCCTCAGAAGCAGAGTCAGAGCCTACCAGGCCTTTCTTATTCTAGGTGGTCAAGCGATTGGCCAGGTCATGGCCAGGGCTAGCAGAGAGCAGGAGCTGGTGCAAGGGAGAGAGATGGGGGAAAGACAGGGCTCATGGGAAGAACTGTGGGTCAGGGGGCACAGGTGAGAGGGGCTAGCTTACCACGCTGTGGGCAAATCAGGCCTCATAACTGAGTTCAATAGATTTGTCTAAAAGTTCCCAAAAGCGCTTTGCTATCCATGGTCTCACAGGCTGCTCACAACAGTCCCTGAGGCTGACGGACCAGTTCCTTTGAATAATATATTAATTACAAAAACAACAGAGGTTAAAACTCTTTGCAGTGTCCAGGCAGCTCGACGCTAAAGGATGTTAAAGGGAACCAAGGCCGACGACCCAGACATGGTGGGCAGACAGAAGTTGGAAGGCAGGAGACAGAGGGAGGAGTTAGGCTCTTCTGGACTTGATTCTCCATCTCTTTTGTTTCCTTAAGAGTTTATCCAGAGATTCCTGCCTCGGGAGCTCCAGATTGTCCGTACCCTGGACCACAAGAACATCATCCAAGTGTATGAAATGCTGGAGTCTGCCGACGGGAAAATCTACCTGGTGATGGAGCTGGCTGAAGGAGGGGATGTCTTTGACTGTGTGCTAAATGGGGGGCCACTGCCCGAGAGCCGGGCCAAGGCCCTCTTCCGTCAGATGGTCGAGGCCATCCGCTACTGCCATGGCTGTGGCGTGGCCCACCGGGACCTCAAGTGTGAGAACGCCTTGTTGCAGGGCTTCAACCTGAAGCTGACAGACTTTGGCTTTGCCAAGGTTTTGCCCAAATCACACCGGGAGCTGAGCCAGACCTTCTGCGGCAGCACCGCCTACGCCGCCCCGGAAGTGCTGCAGGGTATTCCGCACGACAGCAAGAAGGGTGACATCTGGAGCATGGGCGTGGTCCTGTACGTCATGCTCTGTGCCAGCCTACCTTTTGACGACACAGACATCCCCAAGATGCTGTGGCAGCAGCAGAAGGGGGTGTCCCTCCCCACTCATCTGGGCATCTCGGCCGAATGCCAGGACTTGCTCAAGCGGCTCCTGGAACCAGACATGATTCTCCGGCCTTCAATTGAAGACGTTAGTTGGCATCCATGGCTAGCAAGCACTTCATAAAAGCAATGGCAAGTCCTCCCCAATAAAGTAGGGGGAGAAAGCAAACCCAAAAACCCGCTTCTAAAATGGTGATATATATATTTTACATTTTAAGTTTACTTATCCTAAACTTACCTACACCCTCCCCAGCCTTACTTCTCTTTCCCTTTAAAGATCTTCATGGAACCAGAGGGCCTCATTCAGACTTCCCTTTTATTAAGGCTGACAAGTGATTTTCATACAGTTGTTTAACTAAAGTTACTTAAAAATAGACCCCAGAATCAAACACATACAGGGGGAGGAGAGAAAAATGACCAAGAACAATTGGAACCACTGTTGCATCTTCCTTTCCAAATAAAAGCAGAAGCGTTGGGAATGCAGAAATGGCCTCTTGATTCCTTGTCTTGGTGAGAGGCCTTCTGGGGGCCCTGTCCCTTCCTCACCCCAAAAGATGAGGTGAGTCTGGGATGAAGACAAGGGATTTCCTTGGAACCCAGGCTACCACCTCCCATCCTGACCTCTCCCCCAGGCTCCAAGCAGGAGGGCACCTGCACACTGTCTTGCCCTGGCTCTGGGGCAGCTGCTGCAGGGGACAAGAACAGAGCCCCAGACACCTTCCAGCTTCTGTTGAATCTCTTTAATAGCTGTTAACGGCAAGTCTGGAAAAGGTTCAGGACAAAGTTCTTTTTTCTTTCTTTTTTAATTACAAAACTAACAGCTGTTAGAGTCTTTTTTTTTTTTTTCCTTTTTTCTTATCCCGGCTACAAAATACTCTGGGGAGATACATTATAATTTAAAATATATAATATTGCACAAACAACCAAAAGGTTAATTAAACTAAAGAAATAATTACAAAGAGAAAAACCCCATCCCGTGAAAAAGAAAAAAAAAGATTCAGCATTCTCTCCATCCCACCCCCTCATTGAAGGTTTGAAGTGGAAGTGACCACCACTCTCTTGGTGTCCCTCACCACGATCCCTTTAAATCATTGGTGCACACACCAGATTATGCACAAGAATCACCAGAGCAGCATCGTGAAGCACCAGGGTCTCCAGGCATTCCTGCAGCCCCTCGTCCCACCCAGAGAGGCGCAGCTTTACCAGCGTGGAGGGTGACAGCCACCAAGACTGGATCTGCCTTCAGGAGGAAGAGCTTTTGCAGAAGCCTGTCGAGAATCTCAAGCAGCTCACCCCCAGCATATCCCTCCAAGAGGCAGAAGGGTTGAGGCGGAGAAATTGGGCTTACCAGAGTTGTAAGTACTCGGCTTTGATCACTGCTCTGTACCGCTGGTAGCTGGCTTGTGTCCTAAGCTACGGGGGAGTCAAAGTGGGTGGCTGGCTGGACAAGGTACCTCGCCAGGCAACACACGGAAGGGCCTGAAGTGGCCCCCTCCCTTCTTGGGGAGGGGAAGAAGGGCAAGAGCAGACTCTTGCAGGTGGCACAGCTGGGCTAAGGACTCGGGTGCATCCGACATGAAGACGGCTTGGGAAAGGCGCTGGGGACATACCAGCCTGGACCGGGGGAAAGGAGGGAGTTTGGTCTCTAGATTCTGAACCACAAGGAGCCCTTCCAGGAATGGAAAATGCCTGGGAGGGACAGATTCTTAAGGGAGGCAGATTTCCCAGAAATGAATGCCTCTTACCCACTGGGATAGGAACCAAAGTGTGTCTGCTAGCCCTGTCAAGCCAAGGGCAGGTGGCACGGCCTTCCTTGCTGGCTCATGGGTGACAGAGTGTTGTTTCGGTGTCCTCTATGAGACCGGTGGTTTAGCCTCTGTCTAACACAGGCACATGGGCGAGGGCTATCGCTTGGGACTCCTCAGCAAGAGTCCCCAGGAACAGTGGGTATTCAGCAGAGAAATGTAGGCTCTTCCAGTGGGGGGTGGGGTGGGTGCGGGAAGTTTCCTCCCCTCAGGTCATCCTATGGTTGGCACAAGTCAGAGTTCCTGGTTTGGATTTAGCGAGCCCCTTCCCAGATGTGAGCAGAGGCCCAAAGGGCCAACAAGGAACAACCCAGAATCTGCCGAGAGCTCTGGCTGACAGAAGCCATTTGGGGGACATTCTTAGTCAGTGTCTTCCGGGGCCGGGCTGAGATGGGCGAGGGACGTGGGAAGTGCTGTGGGTGGGGGAGCTGCTTGCTCTGGCTCCCCTCAGTCCCAGTCCTCCCACTCTACGTCTTCCAGCTGCAAAGGGGAGACAATGGAGATAATGGAGAGCACGAACACATATTTACTCCTCTGAGTCAAGTCCAGACCCAAGCTCCCCCGCTGCCCCATTTCAGGATAGCCCTCCCTGCAACCCCAAGCCCCACTCTCCTGGGCTGGACCCTGCCTATGAGAATGAACCACTAGCCTCAAGTGGGTGTCTGGGGAGCAGAGCTGCCCTCTGCCTAAGGGGTGGGTCTGATGGTTCTAGACTCAAAGGAAATGCTTCTACCAGCCAACCCTGGACACCACAAGGGGATGCCCGCCTGCAACAACCCAGTCAGTCGGTCCCTTAAGGAGAACTTGTCTCCTGCTGAGCAGAGAACACAGCTCCAAGAGGCAGAACTTGAGAGTGGCACTCCGATCAGAAGCCAGTGCGGCACAGGACTAGAGGGGCTCACCGGGCCTTCACTGGGGGCTCTAGCACCCTAATCCCCTGCTGAAGTCTTCCAGGCAACTCTCTCTCGGCCTGCTGTCAGTGGATCCCCTGGTATAATGGGTTATAGAATGACTCTGTTCAGGTATGTTTTATGTCGGGTTTTAAAGAGGGCTACAAAGACATCAAAGCCATGATGGCCCCGTGGCGTGAAGGGCACCACGAGCCTTCTTTCCTCTGGGTATAGTGAGGTCACAGGTGTAAAATACTCTTGTGTAGGTCACTGTGGCCCCCAGCCTTCAGTCTCCCAATATGAAAAACAAGGCCCTTCCCATCTCTCGAATCTGTTCCCTCTTTATAGCAGGTTCCCTGAGCTATGTGATGGAAGGAATCATGGGGTTCTTGTGTGACAGTTCTTGATAGAACACTGATGTGAATCAGAGGTGTGGGCTGGAGCCTAAGTCCTGTCCCTTACTAGCTGTGAGAGCTTTTTGCCCAGCCTCTCCTTCACATCATTTTTCATTTGGAGAGGTAGTGAAGAATAAGAGTAATAGGCCTCTGAGCTTCTATTTTGTGGTGGTTTCAGGAACTTCTATCAGTGCTCCCATGTCCCAGGCACTGTGCCTAACCAGAGCACATGCATCATCTACCACAGCGTGTGAGGTTATAATGACCAATGTCATGTTTAGATGGGGCAGCAGAGGCTCAGGTCAAGTGATCACACTTTCTTTTGTCTCCAAGGCCAGGGTCTTAAGATCCCACACCTGGTGAGCATGAGTCACAAGATCTGGGGCAGGGTCTGGCGTGTCTATTTCTTTGGTGGTTCCTCAGGTGATTCTGATAGGAACTAATGTCAAGAACTGCCCCCATTCACTACTCTGGAACTCAGGGGAAGCAGAGCCTGAGCCTGCTGATGACCACTGTTCAGGGCCTAAGCGGGAGGTCTTGGCTCCCTTCCCGCAGCCGGCCACCGCAGATGGGAAGGGATCCACCGTGAGGGGACAGTAGGGCTTGGTGGGAAGAGTCCTCAGACCTGGGATCATTGGATTTGCTTCCCTGTGGCCCACCATCAGCAGGCCCACTCACCTCACCGGAGGCATCCACTTTGGAGAGTGCCATCTGCACTTCTTCTTCAGTCATGTCCAAATCAAAGTCCTTCTCCCAGTCCTCGCTGATGTCTGTGCTCGAGCCTAGAACCATGATCCACAGTGTGAAAGACAGGAAGGGCATGTGAAGAGGCTGCAGCTGGGGGTGATGGAACTCTTTAGAAGGGCCTGACAAATACACACCAAAGGGCTTACATCCTGCTATCTCTGGCTCAGTGATCCCACTTTTAGGAATCTATATTAAGGAAAAATCCTGGATTCAGTAAAAAAAAATTTAACCAAAAGGATGTTTACTATAGTGTTGTTACAGTGATAAAAGCTTAAAAAACCACCTAAAAGTCCTCTGCTAGGGAATTATAAAAATAAAGGGTATAGTCCTATGATGGAATGTTACATGGCTTTTAAAGGTCAGGTTATAGAACGTTTGTATGCATGGCAAAATAATCTTACACTATTAAGTGAGAAAAAGTAAGTTACTGAGTAGTGGAGAAATACTTTGGTCTAGAAACTCCCTGGGAGCCATGGAAATCTCTCAGAAAAAACAATGAACCTCTTCCTCCTTAGTCACTCCATTCTACCTACACTGATCCTGCTGCTCCTGAATCCTATCAGGCACATTTCCACCTAAGGCCTTTCCAAGGACTGTTTCCTGTACCTGGAACTCTTCTTTAGATACCCACAGGCCAACCTGCTCACTTCCTTCACACCTTCGCTCATATCTGACCATCTAAATGTGGCCTGCCCCGATCATCCTATTTTCAATTGCAACCCTATCCCCCTCACTCTGCTCCGGACGGTCTTTTCCACCGTCCTAGTGTATTACATCATCAGGTTCCCTGTGCTTGTTGTCTAATAATAGAGAAACTAGAACGTGAGCTCCTGGAGGACAGAGATCTTCTATTTTCTTATGTATTCCAAGTGACTAGAACAAATAGTTTGTACTCAATAAACATCCCTGGACTCTTTCTCTAAATCAGGGGTTGGCAAGCTATGGCCTGTGGACCAAATCCAGCCTACCATCTGCTTTTGGAAATAAAATTTTGGAACATAGCCATGGCCATTTGTTGACATATCACCTATGATTGCTTTCATGTTGAAAAGACAAGAGTTGAGAAGCTGGGACAGAAACTATGTCCCCCGAAGCCTAAATATTTGTGACCTGCCTCTGGAAAGAAAACATTTGCTCCTCCCTGTTCTAGGTGATTCTGACGCCTGCTAAGGTTTGACAGCCACTGCTCCAAACATGCCTATTTGGGTATGCCTTCTTACAGGCAATATTAAAAAAAGTACATATGAAAGTTATTACTAAGAAGAAAATGACAAAAATAGTTCCTGTAAAAAAATACATGCAGTATGATTTCATTTAAAAAAATATGCTCACAGATGCAGGCACACACACAGAAAGGAAGAGCAAAATACCCATAAGAATCCAACAATGGTTATCACTAGGTGATGAGGCCATGGTGTAATTTTTCTTTTTTTTTTAAAATGATATATTACTTTGCAATCATTTTTTTAAAAGCCTCTTTTAAAAAAGTAGGCTCTGATCCCCTAAGGGCACCACCTGTAAATACCTTGTTTCTTCTTGCCTAGCTTGCTCCTCACCACACACCCAGGCTCTGAGACCTCCCCAAGCCTGGGCCCCACATTCCTTACGAGGGTTCTTGCCCTGTTCTCTCCAACCACCCATCTAGCCACAAGCAGTGCGGCAGTGTCTCTGGGCTTCTCTGGTGGCTCAGATGGTAAAGAATCTGCCTGCAATGCAGGAGACCTAGGTTCGATCCCTGGGTTGAGAAGATCCCTTGGAAAAGGGAATGGCAACCCACTCCAGTATTCTTGCCTTAAGAATACCCATGGACAGAGGAGCCTGGTGGGCTGTAGTCCATGGGGTTGCAAAGAGTCGGACACAACTGAGTGACTAAGCACATGTGTAGTCTTGGGCAAATTATTCTGGGCTTCAGTTTATTTATACTGATAAAATAAGAATAAAACCATCCTCTTTGCAGAGAACCACCGGAGGAGCTTATTAGAAAGCAGATTCCTCCCTGCCCATTCCCCTCATTCAGATTTAGCAGGTGTAGGTGGTGGCCCAGAATTCTGGATGATTCTGTATAGATCTTGGCCTGCAGTTTGAGATACAACAGTGTTACAAATAGCAGCATCATGTAAAGTGCCTGTAACATACATCAGTTCAGTTCAGTTGCTCAGTTGTGTCCAACTCTTTGAGACCCCATGGACTGCAGCACACCAGTCTTCCCTGTCCATCACCAACTCCCGTTTACTCAAACTCATGTCCATTGAGTTGGTTGTAACATACAGATACAGTGGATGTTCAACAAATGGACCCGTTAAAGGCTGGTCCTAGTTAAGTAATTTTGCACATGGCCCCTCAGCCAGTCAGGATCAGATCTCAAACAGAGACCCGGTTCTGCTGACCCCACGTTTAAGGCTCCCTGTGCTTTCAGGATGCTCTGGTGGCTCTGCCTGGTCCTCTGTCAGTGCAGACTTCCTGTGGGTGAGAAGCTAGACTCCCGGCTGATTCCTCCCTTCAGAGCTCTGGCTGTGGTCATGACAGCTCTTCCTGACCTTAGGTTTCCCTCCAGGGATTTCAAACTCTCTTCAGGGCTGAAATGCTAGGGCAAATCTGTTGGGTAGAAGAGTCTCAGCTAACATTTTTGGAGCACTTCATACCTATCTCAGAGGGTGGATGTGAACAGTCCCAGTTTACAGATGAGGAGACAAAGGCTTCGAGTGGCAGAGAGGTGAATCTGGGCTTTCTCTGCCACCTGCCTCCTCCCACCATCCTGTCCTGTCACACAACAAAAGTACAGGTAAGATGGCCATTACAGTGGGCACGTGGCAGAGAACTGATCTATGCAACGATTTAAGACGTCACCATGGAGTGTTACTGTTTTCTTTTGTTTGTAAGGAACGGGGAGTTTTCGGGTGATTACTAACATCATAGTGCTGTCACTCACAGCTCATTTTATTCTGTTGAATTGGATCTTTGCTTCTCCAAAGAAGAAATGGAGGCCAAAATCCCTCCCAGGTGGTCAGTCAGTGGTGAAGCAGGGCCATAAGCCCAAGGCTCTTTCCAGTCCACAGTCCACAGGGCCTGCCCCAATCTCCCCTCCCTCTCCTTGCTGTGGGCGCCTGAGCATGCTAAGTTTAGTCTCCTCAATCAAATGGATCTCGGCACAAAATGCAGGTGGGAAGCAGCTCTGCAATGACAGGCATCACCCTGGGACCTCAGGAGTCCCTTAGGCTCGGCCACCCCAGAGACTGCTGTACCCAGAGACCAAGCCTCCCTCATGTCATCTTTGGATGTGCACACAAGAAGGAAAAGGAGTCACTCTGCCTTCAGGACAAAAAACCTATTCTTTGAAGGTTTTACTCTCTCTACTCTGTTCCCACTGTCCCCTCCCAATCCAAGACCCCAGCTTTGCCCCCCACTAAGTGTGTGAGAGGCAGCAGAGAGCACATGGTTAAGAGCTTCTGCTGCATCTTCTCCATAATCTCATTTCTTCCAGTCTCTACCCATCACACTCTCCAGTAGTCCATTTCCAAATGGAACCAATAAATCTTAAACCTTCCAACTGTGTCACTGTTATCCCCACCCTTACCCAGCTCAGATTCTATAAGCCATCATTCTGATCACTTCCTGCATACACTAGACTTTTGTCCTTTTGAGTTCATCTGGATAAACTTAAACCCTACTTCAGTCCAACTTCCCACCTGCTCTGTGCCTGCACCTGAGCGACTGGATGTGGCGGGACAAAATTACCACAGTGCTGACTGGTCTCTCTCAAAATTCATGACCATTATCACAAATGGACCCTTCGAACCATCCACCCAGCAACCCCACAGCACCTGCTGAATCCATCACCTACTCTTCACTCTCCTAAAGGCTATTTCACATTTATCTAAATACCTACTATGTGGGTGATTGATCTTAGTTTCCCACCAGTAAAAAAGAAAAAGAAAAAGAAAAAAAAGAAAATCTCACAGTTCTCATAGGGTTTTTGGTGAGGATTGAGTGATATGCATATTAAGTGCTCAGCACAGACCTATATAAATATACAGGAAGTGTCCAGAGACTGATTGGTACCTCTTACTATCTTCATCATCTCTCCGAAGCAGGGCTCTACCTCAATTTCTTCCCTGACTGAGGATCTATCATGAAACAATGACTCTCAACTTATACAGAAAATGGAGGCTTACAGAAAATCAGTAACATTTCTGAAGTCACATGGCTTATGAGCAAAGTTGGGATTTGAACCCAGTTCTGTCTGAACCCCAGAGGCTGAGCCCTTAGCTTAGTCTCTACATGTAAAGCCCCTAGGACAGGCTGAGCATGTAATACAAGCAGCACGACCTGCTGCTTTGTGGCACCACGTCCTTCTGAATTTGGCTTAAGATTTTAAGCTCTATTTCTGAGCTAACCCCACCTCCCTTCTTATTCCTCCCTCTCCTGCGAACAATACAGAGAAGTGGGCTTTGGTCACCCCCTTCAACATGCCCCATGCCCTCTGCATTTTGGACTCTGTAGGACCCCGCAGCCTGGACTACTGCTCCCCCGCCCACACCTGCCCCAAACTCTCCAACCCACCTATACAATGCCTGTCTCCTCCTTGAAACACCTGCTGGTGCCCAGGGGTTCCTTCTTTCTCTGAACTCCTCTGGTACCAAACCTGCCCCGTAGTACTTCGTGCTTCATCATAAAAGACTATAGCCTTTGCCCCTCCCTCCTCAGTGTCTCATAAAGAGTAGGTAGGAGCTCAATGGATGACCTCACTGAATCAGAGTCAGAAGGAAAGCACTGTGTCGGAAACTAGAAATCTTGCAGTTTCCATCAGGGAGCAGAGCAGGGCAGGGTTATGAGGGGCCCATTCCCATCCACAGCAGCAAGCCGGTCTCTCACTGCCAGCAGGCCAGTGCGCACCTGCTGGGCACGCTGGGTGGCTGACTGGTGCTGAGTGTGGGCAGACAGGATGCCTGTGGGTGAGGAGCCGAGGAGAGGTCTTGCTGCCAATCGGCTGCCTCTGCAGAGGTATTGTGGATGTGACCAAACAAGCTGACATGAGCGCTACCGCTGTTCTTTAACTGCAGGAATGAAGAGAGGTTCCCCCCGTCACAAAGTCAGAGTGTCTCCTGTCTAAAATTTCACTGAGCAGATAAGAAACTAAAGCTCTGTTACTTAAGCTAGGTCACTGCAAGTTCATGAGTATTCCTTTTATTCTTTACACTGTACACATAAGCTTTGTTCATGTATTGTATAATAATAATTAAAGAAGGCTTGGGAAGCTAAAGGACTTTCCTGAGGTCATCCAAGGGAGAAGACCCTTGGCAGTAATCAGTCACAGGAGTTCCCACCCCGAAACTGAACTGTCCAAAAGGACAGGAACTGGCACAGTACGGGAGTTAAGGGCATGGGTTTCAGGTCAGACAGACCTAGGTCTGAATCAGGGCTTGCTACTCTCTGGCTGTGTGAATTTGAGCAACTTACTTAACATCTGAGGCTCACTTTCTTCAACTATAAAATGAGGACAGTAATATAGGGAAATGAGATGTAAATTAGAAATTAACAAGCTCCCCTGGTAACTGAGAAATTAACTGCAATATTACATCCTTAACCCATGATCTGACATAAATCTTATTTTGTTGACTCTAAGACTCCAACAGTTATAAGATGCATCCTAAGTTCAGAGAATAATGCATGTTGGAATTGATGGAATACAGTAATAAACACTCAACCTATAGTAGTTGTCATCATTATCAGTATCACAAACAAAGGCCATCTCTCCTACACAAGGGACAAGGGCTCCTCACAAGGGACAAGGAGACAAGTCTGCCTTGTGAGGTGGCAACTCTCACCTGCCCTGCCCCCGCATGCTCCCTGGGCTTTGGCCCTGACTTACCTTTTTTCCCATTGTTGGAGGGTGTAGACTTCCCACTGTCCGAGTTCAGCTCAAACACCCGTAAGTCTGTGAGGACCTCTTCCCTGAGAGTCTCTACTCTGGCTGGAGGCCGGGGCTCTGGACCGCTGGGGCGGCCAGCGGGGGTGTGGGGCTTGGACTGAGCTCGGGGTGGAGGTCCAGTCTCGCTCGTATCCACAGCCAGGTCCTGTTCCTCCAAAGATGCCTCTAGAAGCTTCTGCGACAGGTCCTTGGGCAGCGCTGGGGCCTCAGAGGCAGGGGGCGGTTTGGCAATCTGGGTCACCAGGGAGATGCTCTCACTGCTCTCCGAGGGGGTCACCTCTGTTGGAGGCTCGACGGGGGTCACCAGATTCTCTTCACAGGGGTTCTGGGGACCGGGTCCTCCTTCAGGGGATGTGGAAGGTCTGGCCACAGGAACCTTTGCCTCTTTTAGGGACGTGGGTGAAATGCCTGCAAGCTCCTCTGTCAAGAGAGAAAGGAAGAAGAGAGTGATGTACTCTGGTCAGCCCCAAGACCATCATGGAGACCACCAGACAGACCTCAGGTCCTCGTCAAAGTTTGCTCTAGTCAAACTTACTGGAGTCGGTTTCCTCACCCCCTCTCCATGGTAATTCTGTAGGTACTCCCTGCTGGTCAAAGTATCTCCTACCTGTGAGGCCTAGTACATGTCTGGTAGGCACTCAGCTTCTAGAAGTGCAGCCCAAGGTAACATGACAGCTTAGAAAGCCAAGACCTGAAAGTCAGTCAGGATGAGGTTCAGGTTGAGCTCTGCTACATCCCCGATGCATGATCTCGGGCAAGCCACTTAACTCTCCTTTAACCTACTTGCCTCATTTGCAAAAGAGGGATAATAAAGTTGTGGTAAGGCCCATACATGTAGAGCTTTTAGTATGGGTTAGGAATATGATATAAGCACTTAATAACTGTGTTAACATATCATACAGGTGGCTCCAACACACTCCTAATAAGCTGAGCTACCAGGCAGAGGAATCTCAGCTCTGTCCCTAAGCCAGCGCTTCCCAAGTCTGGCTGAGCATTAACATTACCAGCAGAGCTTGTTAAAAATACAAGTCTGGGATGCCCCTGGAGGTCCAATCGTTAAGACTCCATGCTTCCACTGTAGGGGTGTGTGCATGTTCGGTCCCTGGTTGGGGAATGAAGATTCCCCCCAGGCTTCATGCTGTGGCTAAAAATTAATTTAAAAAATTTTAAAAGTATATAAGTTTGGCCACATGCCCCGAGTCTTAGAAGAAGAAGGAAATCTAGAATTTCAATAAGCACCCCCTACTCTGAAGTAGCTGGTCCATGGGCTGGAACTGACACATGCAATCTCCGTAACGTAGACCTGGGGTCTACCAGCCTTGGTAAACACCCCGTTGTTAGCTCAGACTCTCCTTGGCACCTGCAAACACTGTATTCAATCCCTCCTCTTTCCTGAGGTGCGGTGTCCCTCCAGGCTTCTGAGAGAATGGCCCAGACAGCCCCCAACAGGCAGGACTTGGTACTTGCTCATCGCCTCTCAATACCTCTTACCTTCTTCCTCCTCCCAGCCAGGTTCTTCAGAGAGGCTCTGTTCGGCCCGCTGCTTCAGGGCATCCCTCCGGGCCTGCTCCTGAAAGTGGGGGAGGAGTAGATGGCCAGGAGCAGTCAGGAAACCCCCTTTCCCAGACTCTGGTTCTGGCTCCAGAACTCTTGGTACCCTCTGTCCCCTTCTTCCCTCAACAAAACCCAGTCCCTACCCCAAGGCTGAGTGGAGTACTTCCCCTGGTTAGACCAGCATACCTGCTCCAGTTGATGGACTTTATAGAAATACCGATGCCAGAATTCTGAATGGGAAACAGCTGCAGGCACCTGGAGGGAGGGGACAGTGGAGATGGGACTTCAGAAGTGGTTGTGTGGGGTCCATGTCCCCAGCCTTATAAGCCAGCTCCCAGTCATTCTGGATTTCAGAGGGTCTAAGCGGCCAAGCTGTGATTCTTACAGCACTTCCAACCCCCAGACCCACCTTCCTGGGCCAGGAGGTAGAAGAGAACTCCCATCAGGCTTTGTTGGGCCTTCCATTTCTCACCGTGATTGCCAGAAGCCTGGTGACTTAGATTCCCCCATGTGGATTCTTGGCTCAGGAGCTGGCTGGTGAGGCTCCACAGGGCCTCCTGCGGCTCTCTAGGCCAGAGGACTCCACAATGACTCTGGACATGTCCCTCCCACTTCCCCACACCTTCAGCCAGGAGCCGGAAAGGCCCTCACCATCTTGGTGTAGAGGGCCCGGATGGAGGGGCTGCCTACAAGGAGCTCTGAGATCTCCCCCTTCTTCTCCTCCAAGCAGAACTCGGAAAGCCAGGCGTCAAACAACTCTGGAGGCCCTGCAGAGGGACAGATACTGATGGTCAGTTGTGTGGGGCTGGAGGAAGAACCCTGGGCTTAGAGAAAACACACCGAAGCCTGGACACGGACAATGAGGAAAGCGTTTTTTCCAAAAGCCATGTGGCACAAGGTGGGGGATCAGGCAGGGTGAAGGGATGGGGGGGCCTACTATCAGGGCATGGCCCCTCAGTGATCTCCGGGGGGGCTGCAGTCTCCTCTCTCTCCGGGGCCTCCGTGGTTTGTAGCTCACTACACTTGGCTACCAAGGCCTCTCCTCTCTGCAACAGCTGCTCTCAGGTCACCAGTGACGCCATGCTGCCAGATCCAACAGCAGCTTCTCTGTCCTTTGTCATGTCACCACCCTACAGCTTCTGCCCTGGGAATCACTACCTTCCTCTTGAAGCCCTCTTCTCTCCTGGCTTCTCATTCTTGAGGGTATTTCCTCCCACTGCTCTAGGGGTTCCATCTGAGTCTTTGGTGGGCTCCTCTTTTTCCTTTCCTGATTTCTTCTCATTCTCCATTTTCTCCCAAGATGACCTCCACTAAACCATGAGTTTTGACCTCCTTTCCCACTGCCCGTTCCTCGGTCTGGCAGCTGAGGCTATCTTCCTGGGCTCCAGACCCAGAGGTCCGGGGGCCACGACACACCCACCTGCACAGATGCTGCAAATACAGCACGTGTTCACCTTCTTCCCTCCTGCACCTGCCCCACCCAGCTACTCACCGGCGACCTGGGGGCCCTCCCAGGCTCCTTCCTTATGCAGTCACTCTGGATTCCACTTCCTCAGTGTCTCTTATATGCACACCTTCCTCTTCAGTCTACCTGGCCCTTCCCTGTTTCTGGCTTTACCTCTGACATGAGGATTCCCACCCAGCTTCCTAACTGGTCTTCCTGTCTTGTTTCTCCTTATTTCATCCTTAACAAAACACTGCCTGAAGGCTCTTTTATAAAATGCAAAATCTGATCACATCAGGTCTTAAGACTCTTCAACAGTTCTCTACAGTATGGCTTTTTAGACTATGGTCCAAGGATAGGCTTCAAAGGGTTAAAGAATTCCCATACTGCATATACAATTCTATTGAAAGAGGGCTTATGATTTTCAACAGAGTTTAAAACTCTGTTGAAGTTTAAACCTTTAAAAGGTCTTTGTGACTCAAAAAACGGTTAAGACCCACTACCTTGAGTCTTTCAGGACAAAATTCCAATTTCTTAGTCTGGTACCCAAAGCCTTTCAGTCCAGTGCCCTGGCAGCTCTCACTGCCCTCATTTCCTCACACGTACTCTCTCTGGTGTTCTTGAATGCCTAGGTTTTTCTAGACCTTCAAAAGTCCTGTTGTCATGCTTCAACACTGTTCCCCCACTTCTACAAGTAAAATTAGTTTACTTCTAATTCATTGTTAAAACCTCAATTCAGGTGTCACATCCTAGGTTTCCCAGGCTGGGTTACGTGCCATCCTCTGGGTTCCCACTGCTCCCTTCTTCGGTGGAAGCAGTCACTCCATCTCTAGTTATCTTTGCTTTATTCCGTTTCTCTCTCCTAAAGGAAGGCAGGTTCCTGGAGGTCTGGACAGGGTTGATTCAGTTTCACTCATTTCCGGTGTCTAGTTCCCAGCCTAGACACCAGCTCCCCTCTCTGGATGTGGGGTGTGCTGTACATCAGGAGCTTAGCGAACAGGCCAGAGGGAAGGCAGGCAGGGCAGTGGGGCTGGGAGGGAGCCTGAGTGAAGATGAGGGATGAGAGGAGCAAAGCCTCTGTAGATGGGGATGAAGACAGTCTGAGTTCAGGGAGGAAAGGCAACCATCAAGCCTTCCCACCAGATGTGGGGTTCAAAGTAGCCCCCGCTCTGGTCCCTTACACAGAGGATACCCAGCCACTGCTACAGAGACAAACAGGGCGTACCATCCAGACCCCCTTGGCCTCTCTGCCCAGCAAGCCTGCCCCCTCACCACTACCCCCTCACCATCTGGTTCATTGCAGTAGGTTGCTGGGTCTGACTGCAGGCTATAGAGGCGAGCCTATAAAAGAGAAAAAAGAAGAGAGATTCTGAGGTGCCGGGGACAGAAAGCAATGCCTCTCTGCCAATCAACCACGACCCAGCTTCTCCCCTGTTGGCTGCCATACCGACAGGGCACTTGGTAATTAACAGTGTGGGTTATGAGTGGAGCACTGAGCTAGGAATCTAAAACTGGGGCTCCTAGAAAAATGGTCTTTCACCCAGTATTCCACCCCTGGAAACTAAGAAAATAAGGTAAGCAGGCTACAAAATCATACATATAAAATAGTTTTGAATTATATGATATAGAAATCATATAGAATCTATATGATATAGATTAGTGCAAATATATTAATAAACTCCAAAATTCACTGGCAAATTTTGAAACATTTAACTCACGTTAAAACAATTCATCAAGAATTTTAATTTCATAGCCAGTCTGCCAAATGAATTGCAAGTTGTGCTCCCATTAGGGCTCCAGGAGTCGTGAACTTTAGCTGGTACATGGAAAGCCCCTCCTTCCTTCCTCATTGTTACAGGAAGCATGGATGGGCTGCATCAGAACTTTAGCAAATGATTTTGGTTGATTCACTGTTATAATTTAAAATTCTGTAATTAAAAAAATTTCACAATCCACTTAAATGTGTACTAAGTGGTGGTGCTAATACTAGTGCTGAAAAACATGCTTGAAAAATCATGTTTGGGGTGGAAATTCAATGTGGTAAAATGCTGGCCAAACTGTGACACCACACTGCGAATGTGGGAGAAAAAACTCCAGGGAATGTGAGAAATAATGGTGAGAAAATAAAATGCAGTAGAAATACACTACTGCTGCTGCTGCTAAGTTGCTTCAGTCATGTCCAACTCTGTGCGACCCTACAGACGGCAGCCCACCAGGCTCCCCCGTCCCTGGGATGCTCCAGGCAAGAACACTGGAGTGAGTTGCCATTTCCTTCTTCAATGCATGAAAGTGAAAAGTGAAAGTGAAGTCACTCAGTTGTGTCCGATTCTTAGCAACCCCATGGACTGCAGCCCACCAGGCTCCTCCGTCCATGGGATTTTCCAGGCAAGAGTACTGGAGTGGGGTGCCATTGCCTTCTCTGAGAAATACACTACTGTTGTTGATATAATTGCTTTGAAGACATACTCCTCCTGTACATTTATTCCAATTAAAATTTAGTCTTAAACAACACAAATGCGGAACTCATGCCTGTAAAGATGCTCTCGAGCACTTCTTGTTATGGATGAAAGTTGAAAGGAATCTAAATGTGCAACACTAGATAAATGATTGAATAAATTACGCTATATACACCTGCAAGAATTTAAAGACATTAAAAATGATGGTGATAAGGAAAGATCAGGTGGGAAGCTAGAGCCCGGGGCTGCTAGTGAATACCTTGGTACCATCATAGGGCTCAGCGGTGCCAGAAGGTGTGCCCATCAGCGTGATGACGTCGCAGTCGATGGTTTTGTCTGGTGACGGAGCAAAGGTATCGGAGATCACCCCCAGGAAGTCAGACAGCCCTTTCTTCATTTTCTCTGTTGCTCCAGAGGAGCCTTCAGTCTGCAGAGAGAAGCCAACAGAGGAAGTAAGTGGCTCAGGAGCAGGCTGCGATCTGGGGTGTGGGGTAGAGAGGGGTGAAGCATCAGGGGTCAAGGTGTACTGTGTAGGGGCACCAGGGAAATGTTCACAACTGTTCACCCCATCTCTGGGGCTGGAGACGGAGACGGGGCAGCCAGGGTCCCCACCCCCCAGATGGGGATGCAGATTAGGGCTGCAGTAGGCCTGTGAAGGTCAGAGCAGAGCTCCTTGACTGGCTGTTTCACCAAAATTTCAAGGCCAGTCAAGCTGATCAAAGATTGACAGGAGAGGATTCACGGCACAGACATTCAGCAGGGAAGAGGACTTAGAGGGAGAGAGATGGGAAAGGCACCAGCTTTCGGGTCAATCTGGGCTTTGAATCCCAGCTCTACTACTTGTTACTAATGAGACCTAAACCTCTCAGAGTCTGTTTCCTTATCTATAAAATGCAGATAAATATACTTCCTACAGGGGGTTACTTTGGAGATTTTTTAAGAGATAAGGCATGTACAATGTCTGGCACATAGCAAACATTTAATAACTAGTAGTACTGTAATATTGCAATCTCATCATCATCATTGCTCAGGAGATATTTTGTATGAAAGGTTGAGGAAATACAGGCAGGATGAGGACAGACAGCCTTGCCTAGAGACAAGCCTGGGACCAGTTGAGGGCCAATGCATGGACCCCCTAGAAGGGGCAAGTGGGGCATCCATCTGAAGCCATGCTGGTCAGAAGGCCCTTGAGAAAGAAGGGACGGTGTGCTGAGAGATAGGATCAGGCTCCGCAAACCCTGCAGCAAAGTGTCGTATTTATTCCCGATAAGGCTGCCCAGGCATTTTAAACCTTGAGCCTATCAACTGTGCCTGGCACATGTTGGCACAGGTATATAGCTGTATTTGTTGAATGAAAAAAGGGATAAACAAAGGAAGGAAACAAGTTGTGTCTATGCTACTGGCTGTACGTGCAGCAGTTCAGCTGGGTGACTACTCGTCATTCATGCTCATCAGTGGCTGTGGTCAGCAGGCAGACAGTGTTTTCTAAGATTCAACAAAAGAAGCTTGGCTAAACACTCTACAATATGTTTTTCATAACATGGCCTCTAATTACAAGGCGACTGATTCTGCTGGTGATCAAAGAAACTGAAGTCTGTTCCACTACTAAAGGGGAAGTTGTAATACAAAACCAGTACCCTATACTTTCTCAGAAATTTGAGATCTGTGGGGGTATCTCTGACCATATACAATTTTCAATTTTCATGCTGACTTGAGAATCTAACTCCTATCTCAGAGGAGAATTCCAGTATACATCTCTGATTGGTAAAACCTGGACCAGTAAAAATACAAGCTGGCAAAAACTTTTTGGAGGTAGTTCTACAGAAGATATTAAAAGGTCTAAAACTATATTCATCTTATATCCTTTTCAATACCTTATTTGCAAGAAATATTAAAGGCAAAGATTAAGCGATCAGAATGTTCACTGTAGCTCTGCTTACAATATTGGAAAAAACTGAATCAGGAAACTAGGAGCTGGTCAAATCCACATAATAGAATACCATGCCGTGGGCTTCCCTGGTGGCACAATGGTGAAGACTGCCTGCCTATGCAGGAGACACAGGTTCAATCCCTGGTCCGGGAAATTCCCACATCTGGCGGGGCAACTAAGCAGTGCACCACAGCTCCCGAGCCTGTGCTCCAGAGCCTGGGAGCAGCAACTGCTGAAGCCCGCAGGCCCCAGAGCCTGTGCTCCTAGACAAGAGAAGCCACCACAATGGGAAGCCCAGGCACCACAGCTAGAGAGTAGTCCCTGCTCACTGCCGCTAGAGAAAAGCCTGAGCAGCAGCCAAGACCCAGCACAGTCAAAGCGAAAAATAAATAAATAAAATGTCAAAAGAGAAAAAAAGAATACCATGCCACTTCTGATGCTGTAGAACCGGGTCTGCAATGATTCATTAAACAGGGAGGTTATGAAACATGGTGTTCAGGCTACGGGGGGGCAGTCCCTGGGAGGGTGGAGGTGGTACTCACAGTCAGCTTCTCCTTGACCACGCTGGCGGTGGCTGCAATGGTGCAGGCTGTGTCGTGCTGCACCACCTGGGTGAACTCCGTCAGGTCCCGCTTCATGAACTCCAGGGCTTCGGAGGACTAAGGGAAGACACAAAGGGATGACAGCCGGCAGCTCCCCCACCCCTTGTTTCCTGCGCCTCAGTGCCCAACAGAAACATGGCAAGCAACTGACATGGGAAGCCTGGGCTCAGAAACAATGCTTACTTGTCCCAATTCCACAACCTGGGATTACTCAACAGCAGAGAGCACAGAACTTCCTGCTGCTCTGAGAACCGGGGACTGAGCTCAGCCCAGGTACTTATAAGCTCTGTGGCCAGGAGGAACTCTCATCAAGTCATCGGTTTTCTCCTAGGTAACGAGGGAGGTAGACTAGGGCAGTGGTTCTCGTGAGCAGACTGGGCTAGGGTGCACGTGTAGTCTGAAAACAAGACAGACTTTGCATCACGTCGCTATGCTGTAAGCCATGATCTCTGTCTCAATTTCAAACATGAAGAGAAATAATTTTTTTTAATCAAAGAAAAGTGTTCTCTATTTTTACTTCTTTTTTTTGTTACAAGGAAATTCAGTTGAAATACGAGACAGCAGGTGAAAATATTTGTGTGAAAGGTTTCACAAACAGGTTGTATTGGTAACTGCAATAGTTTAGAAAGCTTTTATGAGCAATTTTTGACAATACCAGTAAAAGGTGTGTCATTTTTCTATATTCAACAAGAGGGGTGTTAAGAGAAATATTGGATTAGATTCTCTCCTAGACTGCCCTCGTTCTACCACTTCAAAGCTTTGTTCATCCATAGAGCTCCTTTGGGCAGAACTGATACTTGCTTCTGTCGGACAGTTTTCCTCTCACTCTGCACTCAGACCCAGCAGCCCTTCAGCTCTTGTTTAAGTCTTACCTTGTCTTCATCCTCACCCACTCCAAGACATTTTCCTGGACTATCTCTGTGCTCACCTCTGCAAGCCCTTTCATTTTATGAGGGATAGTTATCTGCATTTTTAAAGTGTCTTTTTGAGTGTTCTGGTGATTTATTTCCTTTGGAAAAAGGTCTGCCTTGTTCTCACCAGCCTAGGAAGTCTCATCTATCAGCCAGAGGCTTCTCTGCGAGTGGGAATGCTTCCATTTCAGATCTGGGGCTCCTTAACTGGACTGGAAGAGTCATTTTTATTAATTCTCTCTCCATGCACACCACCACCACCACCTTAGTCCAGGCTAACCTGCTCTTTCATCTAGACTCTTCTCCCAGGTTGCATGAAAGTGAAATTCACTCAGTTGTGTCCAACTCTTTGCAACCCCATGGAATTCTCCAGGCCAGAATACTGGAGTGGGTAGCCAGCCTTTCCCTTCTCCAGGGGATCTTCCCAATCCAGGGATCGAACCCAGGTTTCCTGCATTGCAGGCGGATTCTTTACCAGCTGAGCTACCAGGGAAACCCAAGAATACTGGAGTGTGTAGCCTGTCCCTTCTCCAGGGGATCTTCCCGACCTAGGAATTGAACCAGGGTCTTCTGCACTGCAGGCAGATTCTTTACCAACTGAGCTATGAGGGAAGCCCCCCAGGTTGCATAAGATGCCTCTAATATCTTTTCCTCATGGCAACAGGGGGACCTCTGTAAGTCAGCAGACCAAGATGCCCTCTTTTACAGTCTTCAGTGGCTACACAGTATCCCATGGCAAGTATAAAATCTTTCCCTTCACTTACAAGGTCCGTATAATCTCGTCTCTGGGAGACTCTCCCACTATGCCCCTCACTGAGCTCCAGCTGGCCATGCTCAAAATTTCCCCAATGTTCCACTATCTTTCCTACTTCAGGGTGTCTGAATACATCATTCCCTCTCCTTGACACAGTTCTAACTCTTCAAAACAAGCGAACAAACACAATGAACAAACCCCCTCAGCCGGATAACTCCTGTTCCTCCTTCAGAGCTGCGCCTACACGTCACTCCCCTGGGGAGCTTCCCTGGTGCCACCTCAGACCAGGCTGGCTCTTCAGCTCATGGCACCTGCATGTTCTCTTCTTTAACATTTCCTCTACTTCAGATTTCTGATACCTGTTCACTGTCTATCTTCCTGGGTAAACAGCAAGTTCTGTGAACACAAAGCCTTTGTTTTTTATTCACTGATACTCTCCCAGTGTCTGACATAGAGCCTGCCATAGAGTTAGACTGGCATGCACCAGGGCAGTTTTAATTATTATGTGATTATCTGACGAATGGCTGTCTCCCTCACTTGACTGTGAGCTGAGGGGACCAATATGAATAGACATGGTGCCAGTCCTCTGGAAGGTCCCAGTTTCCTGGGGAAAATGCTCATATAACAGTGCTGAGGTGCAAGGGCAGAGCAGTGACCAGTGTATTGTGGGGAGGCTGGAGCGACTTGGTGAAGGGAAGCCTGGACGGAGCCTTAAAGAATGAGTAGGAGTTACTAAGGAAAACTGGGCATGGTGGCACCTGGAGTTTACTGAGGCCTACAAGCATTTTGGTCCTGGGAGAAATGAAAATAAAGAGCAAAGCAGAAGTGGTGAGGGATAAACCTTGAGAGGGCGACCATGGAGGGCCTGGTCAGCCCTGATGGTGATGGGGAACCACCGAAGTCTGCAGGAGGTAGGACATGATGAGATTTGTGTTTTTGACATGTCACTCCTAAGACTGGGATGGACAACAGGTCCAAGACTTGAGTAGACTAGAAATGGAGGGACCAGTCAGGAGGCTGTTGCAATAGTCCAGGAGAGAAAACAGAAGAATATGAATAAGGACAGTGCTGGTAAGGATGACAGGATGGAACTGGTTCAAGAAATATTAGGCAAAAGAGATGGATTTGGTGATTAAATAGATGTGTTGATTGAGGGAAACAGAGTCAGGAAGAGCTACTGGCAACTAAACTAGGTGACTGGGTGGTTGCAGTGCTGCTAGCCAAGGGAGGAAATGCTGAAGGGGGAGCAAGTTTAGAGAGAAGCTATATAGTATATATAGCTATATAAATATATTCTATAGGCTATATATTTTGGAAGCTATATAGTATCTGTAGTGACTGGGGGATATTTGGGTCAATTGTCCAGCAGGAACTATTCTCAAACACTAAAGCTCCGAGGAAAGGACTAGGACTCACCCTAAAATGAAAACGGAAGAGCTCACCCAGGAAGAGTCCATTGAGTGAACACAGCAAGGCACTGAGGACCAGGTTCCTCAAACACCACCTTTAAGAGGCAGGCAGAGGAAGAGGAACTCGTGAAACAGGAAAGCCTGGAGAAATAGGTGGAGAACTGAGAGAGAATCATGCCATAAAAGCCAAGGGAGTATACTTTCAAGAAAGAGAGTGACCGCTAGTGTCTAATGCAGCAGAACGGTCCAGGAAGATAAGGGCTGAAAAACACCCACTGGATTTGGCAAGTGGTAGGTGAAGCCAAGTGTTTATAAAGATAAGTCTACATGTAGTGGCCTTAGGGGTGGGGAGGGAGTCAAGAGACATGATGTTATTGACTTCAAATTTTAAATAGGAGGAGGTGAGGTTGTCAACTCGAAGTAAAAAAGGAAGTGGTTGGACAGGGAATGTGAGGGGAGAATTAAGTTTGGGGAAAGTTACTGAAGACAAGGGGAGGAGCAAATAGAGACTGAAAACACTTGGTAGGGTAGGGGGTGGAGGCTGAGAGGCCCAAGACCAGGCCCAGATGAGTTTGGGGAATCCGTGGTAGAGGCAAAGAGCAACATGACTTTTTCCACCAGTGTCCATGGGCAAGTGCGAAAACACACACACACACACACACACACACACACACACACACACAACAGGAGGAAGTAAGAGGAAGAGGAATGCAGATTATGGCACCATATCCAAGCTGTAGTTTCCGGGGCAGTATATGCTATGGGGTGCAAGAAAATTGGGGGTGTGTGGCTGGGAACTGAGTGGTCCAGACGGAGCCAGGATAGTGAGGGAAGGAAAGCACTGAAAGACCATGAACAAAATTAATAGAAAATGGTAGCTGGTATTTAAGAGGTTTCCCCATCACTCTCAGTACTTTAAAAAAAAAGGACTTAAAAAAAAAAGGACTTATTTAATACTTATTGTGTGCTAGATACTGTTTTGGTGCTTTACATATATCATCATTTAATCATGACAACAATTCTATCAAGTAGGTATTAGTAGTCCCACTTTACAGATGAGGAACTGGGGCTTTAAGAGGTTAAATATCTTGCCAAAGTTCATATAAGTGTAGGAAATTAAATCTTCTCTTTTCAAATGGGGAACTGTCAAAGGCAGAAACAATACCCCCTCCCTGTGCTTCAAATGAGAGAACAAACATGGAAGGCTAATTGACTACCTATTTTTTTGGGTTATAGGAAGACCAACCTTCACAGTAATACATAGGAGGCCCTCACACAACATTTGCTAAACAAATGTCAGGCTCTCCTTCCAGAAGACTGCTCAACAAGAAGCAAGCTACTTTTGGGTCCCTTCTATTAGAACTCAGTTTGAAATTCTCCGAGTCTTCATTAACAACATAAACAGTTCAGGTCATTCTCAGGTTTTCTGGGCTGTAGCTGAAAGGCTAGTATGCAGGCCAGGCGAGGATAAAAGTGCTTACACAGTAGAGCATTGATTTAACTGAAGCCAGAAGCCTCCTGGAGTTGCCCTGAAGCAGGACTCACCCCAGATGCTTGAGGTTAAATAGTAATTAACTTTTTCCAGAATTCAGATGAGTTGGTTTTGACAAACCAGCATGGAATGAAACAGGAACACACACTGGCATTGTCCACAGGCAGAGTCAAGCCTCACTCACCCCACAGGGATTGCTGTCTCCTCACTAGACCATGAGTTTGGGGAGGCCCAAGACTGCATCTGTTGGGCTAATGTCGGTATCCTGAGGACCAAAGTAGTCTGAGAGTGCGCCAGCATACACTCAAACATTCCACTATTTGCATGACTATAGGAGTAAGTTTCTATCGCTAGAATCCTTTTTCTTCAAGGCCTAGATAAAATGTTCTCTTTTACGAAACTGAATTTCCCAAGTGGGAATACATCGCTCCTTCCCACGGATTCCAACGGCACGGTAGCTCCAGTCTTTAAGACCATCTTTGTTTCACTGTAGCTAGAGTCACACTGGTCTGAGTCGGGGGTCTGTCCTCCCGGAGGGCCCAAGTCAGCCCGGTCCCCGAGGCCCGGAACCCACAAGGTTCAGCGGGACAGGCTCGGAACAGGGTGCAGGGAGATGGCTTGGGGCCCTACCGGAGAAAGGGCGCTGGCCCAGCTTACCTTCTCCTTGACTGCCTGGTAGCTCTGCTGCAGCCAGCTCCGCCACCATCCCACGTCCTCCCTGTGGAAGACAGACACATCTGGCGGCCCCGCGGTGCGACTGTGGCCCGCGCAATGATCGGGTCTCAGTTCCCCTCTCAGATGTGGCCCGTGGGCTGGGGCATCGCAGGCCGCTTCCCCACCCCCTCACGCTGCGACTCCACCCCGCCCTTTCAGCTCCGTTCAGGCCCGCGCTGGCCTCCCGTTCCCCCGGGGGACCCCGGCCCAGCACCCCAGCCCTGGGGAGAATTCGGGGCCCAACGCCCGCAGAACTGGATGACGGGCTCACCCTTCCGCCATCTTGCCCGCATGACATCACCACTATTTACTGACCTTTGACATCCGACACGGCACCGCCCCCTCAAGCACCACCCCGGAGCGCGCGGCCCAATCCCGGCGCCTACATCGTCCTCAGCCCCATCTCCGCCCGGCTCCATCATTGGACTCCGCCTCCTTAAACTCGGTCCTGGCTCGGTTCAGGGTTCGGACTTAAAACTCCGCTCCTGAAAGATCGGTCCAATCCTTATTCAGGATTGTCTCCAGGCCCCACCCCAAATGTTAGCCCCGCCCCACAACATCGAAAGCCTGTCTGTATCCGCTGACATCGGATACGGTGGCCGCTTTGGGTCAAGATCGGCCGTGTGGCTGGGGGCTCGGGTTGTAAAACGGGTAGAGAGGAGGCAGGGAGCGAGCCAGCCTGGAGCTCGAACGTCTGTGTCCCTGAGCGCAGGGTTAGGACCGCCCCCCTTTATGAAACCTGCCGCGTAGCCGCAGCCTGAGGTCTCTTCGGGCTAATTGAGCAAGCGCAGTCCGTGGAGCTCTGGGCGGGGGTTTGGAGGAAAATTCGGAGATGTGTTCGATGCAACCTCTCGGGGAGGCGCTCTCAGGAGATTGGGGAGACAGACACATTTAGTTAGCTCAATTTTTGGCGACCCAGTTCAAAACTACGTGAACTGGATGTGGTCTGGAGAAATCCGGAGACAGTTTGGAGGAGAAAGACTGTGTGTGTGTGTGTCCGGAGACAGTCTGGAGGAGAAAGACTGTGTGTGTGTGTGTGTGTGTCTGGAGGAGGAAGATTTTGTGTGTGTGTGTAGTAACTTTCTGTGTGTGTGTGTGTGTGTGTGTGTCTGGAGGAGGAAGATTTTGTGTGTGTGTGTAGTAACTTTCCGAATGAGGCCTCCGTTTCACTTACCGCCTCATCTGCTACCTGCCTGTATCTGCGCTCTCATACTTTGGCCTAGATCCCGTACTCTTTAATTTTTAACATTTTTTACTGGAGTGTAGTTGATTTATAATCTTGTGTTAGTTTCCTCTGTACAGCAGAGTGAGTAAGTTATACATTTGTGTTCACTTGCTCAGTCGTGTGACCCCATGGAATGTAGCCTGCCAGGGTGTTCTGTCCATGAAATTTCCCAGGCAAGAATGGGCTGGGATCCAACCCACAGCTCCTGGGTCTCCTGCCCTGGCAGGTGGGTTCTTTACCATTATGCCACCTGGAAGACCCCATACATATACATATATATCCACTCTTTCTTGGGTTCTTTTCCTATATGGGTCATTTAAGAGTACTGAGTAGAGTTCCATGTGCTCTCCAGTAGGTGCCTGGATAGTTATCTATCCATTGTCTCTTGTCTATGGGTGTAGCTATAATTCTTTTCCCCCACTCCATTTTATTTCCCTTTTTCCAAGATTATTTCTGTCATCATGCATGCTATTATTTCTTCCATCTTCATAGCAAGCAAACAAAAAACTAACCCTCTCTTGACTCATCACCATTTCCCTACTCCCCTTTACAGCAAAACTCCTGGAAGCATTCCCTATATTCACATGTCCCCATTTTCTCTTGATCTCACTTCAGTGAGGTTTTTGCCTCTCCACAGTCATTTGAATTAAGTTTGTTAGGGTACCAAGAGCAGTGGCCAATTTGCAATTCTTATCTTATTGGAACCATCGGTATCTTGTTTAAGACAATTGATCACTTTCATTCTTCAGACATTTTCTTCACATGCTTCCAGGACATCTTGCCCTTCTGAATTTCTCCTACTTCTTTGGTGTCTCCTCGGTGTTCTTTGCTGTTTTGTTTTCACACCTACTTCTTGTCCCTAGAATGTCCTAGGGCTCAGTCCTGGACCCTCTGCTTTTTGATCTCTGTCATCATTTCCCCAGATGATGTCATCAGGCCACATGATTTTAAATGCCATTTATACACTGACAATTCTCTGAATTTTCTCTCCAACCCACATGTATTCTCTGAATACCAGGATCGTTATCTGTATTTGGTTGTATGATAGACATATTAACTTAACGTGTTCCCAAACTCCTGATGTATCTGCCCCAACTTCCTGCAAACTTCTCCAAAGCTGTAAACAGCAACTGTATCCCTCTACTTGCTCAAAAGTAGACCTGGGAGACAATTTGATTCCTCACTTTTTTTCATACTCAAAAGATAATTCCCTGGCAAATCTAGTTGGTACTACCTTTAAATCAAAATCAAAATCTAGTAGCCTCTCAGCATCTCCATTGCCACTATGTAGGTCCAAACCACTGTCATCTCGCACCTGGATTACCGGTATCTCTGTGTCCACTCTTGCCTTCTATTAGTCTAGTCTTAGTTCATCCTGAAGGCAGTCTTTTAAAAAGCATATGACAGTGGTCATGTAAAGTGGTGCAGCTACTGTGGAAAACAGTATGGTGATTCTGCAAAAAATTAAACGGAACTACCATGTGATCTAACAATTCCATTTCTAGGTATATATCCCAGAGAATTGAAAGCAGAAATTCAAGCAGATACTTGTATGCCCATATTCACAGCTGTGTTATTCACAATAGCCAAGAAGTGAAAGCAACCCAAGTGTTGCTTGACATATAAATGGATAAACAAGATGTGGTATACACATATACATGTTGGAGTATTATTTAGCTTTAAAAAGGAAGGAAATTCTGACACATGCTGTAACATGTAAGAACCATGAAGACGTTATACCAAATGAAATAAGCCAGTCACAAAAGGACAAATATTGTAATATTCTACTTATATGAGATGCTTTGAATAGTTAAATTCATAGAGACAGATTATAGAATGGTGGTTACCAGGGGCCAGGGGGAGATGGAAATGGGATGTTATTGTTTAATGGATTCAGAGTTTGAATCTGAAAAGGCCAGTCTTTTGCTCAGAAATCTCCAATGTCTTCTTATTTCACTCAGAGGAAAAGCCACTACAGCCTCGCAATTTCCTTGAAGTTGATCTGATCTTGATCTACTGGCCTCTCATTCCCTCTACTCCAGCTGCAGTGGCCTTGAAAATTTCCAGCACTCTCCTGACTCAGGGCCTTTGAACTTGCTGTTCCCTCTGCTTAGAATGCTCTTCCCCCAGATATTCATGTACCCGGAACGGTGCCTGGAATGGAATATTGGTAGGGCAAGTGAGATAGAACATGTAAGGAGAGTAAAGACAAAGACAAGTCTAATTGGGAGCAAGCTGGACTGGCTAAAAAGAAAATTGAGAAGATGGAGATGAGGTTGTAAAGATCAGTAACTCCTTTACTCCTGAGAACCTTGGATGAAGAACTAAAAATTCAAACCTAATCCATGGATAGAGAGGCGAGTTACCAGAGCTTTTAAAATTTAGTTCTATTAAGTGTTTAAAAAATTTTTTTTGACCATACCATGCAGCCTGTGGGACCTTAATTCCCCGACCAGGGATCAAACGGGCATCCCCTGCAGTGGGAGCATGGATTATTAACCATTAGGCCACCAGGGATGTCCCCACCAGAGGTTTTAGAATAAGGAAATGACTTGTGCTGTGAAGGCAATGTGATCTAGTGACCACACACTAATGGTGCTATGTATTAATCAGGTGATCATCTTACACAGTGTTCCTTGTGTTATCTTCCCAATTGTCCTATGAGGTAGGAAATATTTTTGATCTCTGTTTTGTAGTGGAAGAAAATGAGATTCAGAGAGATGGAGTGAGATGAACTTTTCCCCAGGTCACACAGCTGGGAAATGGCAGAACTCTGATTTGAACCCAAGGCTTTTTGATAAAATCAAGTTTCTGACCATAGCATATTCCTTCACTTCGTTCAGGCTCATTTCTTGCCTCCCCACCCAGCCACGAGCTGCAGACAGATGGGGACTGTGTCTTCTACTCCCACCCTGCCATCCCCAGGCCTAGCACAGCACTCACGCGTGAGGTCCTCTGTGTGTGTGAACTGAATGGGACCTTCTTGGATCTCTTTGGTCTTCCCCATCTGTCCTTCCCTGCACCCTGAGCCTTGGCTCCCTTGAATGACTTCAAGCAGATCTGGATTCAAATCCCAGCCCAGTCACTTCCCAGCAACATGGCCTTGGGCAAGTTAACTTCCCCTCGCTTTAGTGCCTTCATCATTAAAATGTGGCCACAACTCCTGGCTGTTGTGAGAATTAAGTAAAATAAGTAAAATACAGGGAATCCCCTGCCAGTCCAGTGTTTAGGACTCTGTACAATCACTACTGTAGGGCTCTGTTTCAACCCCTGGTTGGGGAACTAAGTTCCCACAAGCCTTGAGGCTTGGCTGGAAAAAAAAAAAAAAAAACCATAAAAACAAAACGAAAAAAGCCCCTAACATATCATATGAAAGTCCTTAATATGGTAATTATTATTGTCTTAGTCCTTCACCCTTGTCCTAGGCACGGTTAGAGGACTCATAAGCATCTGTTGAACTAAATGGTATGTTAAAGATCACTAGACTGAGATCCAGGAGAAGTAGATTTTAATCCTGGGTTATGGGCATTGGTCACTTTTCCCTTTTTGGCATTGTTTTTTCATCATTCTAGGGACATCTGAGTTTTCTTCTAATTCTAAGGTGAAGTATGAATGCATCATGTCACCCTGTCCCTGACCCTCAGAGCCTCGTTTGACCCACATCTCCTCTCCTGCCCTGCTGGATCCTTCTTGGTGGACAATTCTTGTCCCAGGAGCCTCCCAGCTTTGGCTCCCAGGGAGCCCTAACACACAACTGCCACCAGATGGTGCTGTGGACTCATTCAAGTGAAGTTGGCTTTCTGTCTCCAGCCGGGCTGACGGGAGTGGTACTAGGATGCCTTTCTGGTTGGTTCCTCTAGACAGTCTGGGCTTCCCCAGTGGAAGGGAGCCAGGCCCAGGATGATCCTTGGAAGGGAAGTTTCCAAAGCCTGCCCTGGTTCTGCTGTGGAAATCCAGCATAGAGTTGGCTGCAGGACTAGCTGCATAAATTGTAGGACCCAGTGCAAAATGAAAATGCCTAAGCTGCTGGTTGACTTCCCTGGTGGCTCAGATGGTAAAGTGTCTGCCTACAATGCGGGAGACCCAGGTTCAATTCCTGGGTCGGGAAGATCTCCTGGAGAAGGAAATGGCTACCCACTCCAGTAGGAAAATCCCATGGATGGAGGAACCTGGTAGGCTACAGTCCATGGGTCGCAG